CAACATTATGCTTTCATTTTCAAAGCGATCATTCAACCTTACAATAATCCTCCCATCATACTATAGAGAGACCTGGCTCCCTAAGCTATCTTTTCAGGATATGGATTATAGTTATCCTATATTTTGCACTACACACATGCAAACATATGATGTATTGTCACACATTTCACTGTCTCATGTACACCTGAGATATGTACTAACATGTTATACGGCACATTTATATATTGATGTTTGATCCAATAAAACTCCGCAATGGTCTCTGTCTATTATGAGGTTCAAAATTTCCTTCATATCATTCATATTTTTCTACAATATCGCATGCTCCGCCCACAACGTCGTATCGTTTATTCAAATGAATATTATTGTATGTATGTTACTGTACTTTGGAAACAATATTTAAGGTAGTTGCAATTAAATTAGGATATATGTTTGGTGTAATTGAGATGCTTGATACTGATTAAATGAGCACCACTAGTCAAATGCACAAACGATTCGGTGACGTTTTGTGGTGTATCATTTTTGGTGTTTTTTCATCGTAACAAAGTACTGAATTATCAGGAATGTACAAAGTGTACAGAAAACACCAAATTTGGCATAGGAAAATTTTACAGTAGACGATATGAAATTTTTCTCAAGAAAGAATTTGATGATTGATCATCAGCCTAATTTACTTTTTTGACTGCTGAGATTCGCACGTTGTGAATATCTATTTGTATGTTTCATAATCACCCTCATCACTAAATTCATTCATTTTTCTGATCATTTATTTCGACACCTATCAGATGAACCACACTAACTATAATTTATTAAGTGCATCAATCCAATGAACATTCAACTGATCCATCCCTTCACATGTCGTGTTCATGCAAGAGCCAAGTATAAGCTCAAATCAATAACTCTTTTCACACTATTAGTTTTTGAGCATTTTCCGAAATTTCTTGACTGAATCAGTAACAATGTACCATACTTTTCCACATACAAACCACCAATCGGCTGATTGAATATGAAGCTTTATTAAATAAGAAAAGATCATCAGTTGATTTAGTATTCCATAATTACACTGATAATGATGGATGAAAGCATATAATGGACACAGAAAAACTCAAGTACATCTGCAAATAAATTATAACGTCGGATGGAAACAATGCCAAGTAATCAAACAACTAGCATTGCTGTCTGCTACTTCATTTAAAAGTTTCGGCTGATTTTAAGGTGAACGAAAATATGTGCGTTACGATAGTCAGTAAATTAGAAATTAACAATAATTATTGTTAGTTAGCTAATTCGTCCCCTTTAATTTATTATTCGCCACAGTTAATCCATCCCGTCAACGAAACAGTAACTTCATTTAGAACGAATCAACGATGAACGCGTTAATGTCCACCATTAGTACAACATAATATATAATATGATATGATATAATATAACACAATGTAATGATGCGTTATGATAGATCGAGTAAAAAGCATTAATACTTTTTATAAAGTGCGATGACTGCTGCATATGATATTAAAATAACAAATAATCAATCGAATGCAATCAATCAACCGCATTCACATGCATTCATCATATTATTTTCATTTTAAAAAAATGATGCGAAACATTAGATACATACCTATATTAAGATCTGCAAATATATTATTCATTTTTCTTTCTCACACTGCTATAATCAAAAGCGACGTTGGCAAATTAGCATGTTTTTTTGTTTGATAATGCATGCAACAGAATTATTATCTGATACAAATATTTATGTAAATATTATTATACACACATAAGATGGTGATGAAACAAAATAAAGACGAATAATAGTAGTACTTAAACAAACGAATGGGTCGGTAGCTAGGGAATCAGTTCGGAATTTATTCGTCGTTTGTATTCGTTGTTGTTGATTAGTGGGTGGTCCTGACAGACGACAACAACCAATAAGCCAACAGCTAAATCATATGAATACCGCCCAAGTCGAGACCCGATTGGCTGACGCTGATATTCATTATGATATTGTTGAATGCGATAGAGAGACTGGATGTTGATGCAGTAACGCAAAAGTGAATACGTTTAGCATCTTGTAAGAGCCGTTTTGCTTCTCAATAATTCTCTTGGTTGAGCTCGTTCTGTATTGAGCGGTTTACCACAATGTCACTCCGTTTTTCGGTTGAGAATTTAGTTAAACGTGAACGTGAACAGCATACTAATAAGCTGATTATAAGATGCAGCAATGAGGCAAGTTCCAGTCATAATCTGTTATCATTCTTATCGCCGTCAACTACAAAGTCGTCGTCGACATCAATCCACCATATTCACTCATTAGCATCATCATCTAATGAACATCCCTTATTATCGTCCAGTCAACATATTCCATTCCGTGATCGTTCTCCAAATTCAACATTCCATCAAAAAACTTCTCTTCTCACCAAATCACATCACCTTGACGCAATCTGTGCAACTGCTTCAACGTTCAATAACGACAATAATAATATCAATATTGCTGATAATAATGATGATAATAAAAATAATAATAACAATAATAATATTAATAATAATGATAATAACAGCAATAATAACAATAATAATAATGATAATAATAATGATGATAATAATAATAATAAAAATAATAATAATGATAGTAATAATGATGATAATAATGATAATTATAATGGTATTAATAACAATAATAACAATAGTAATAATAATGATAATAATAATAATCGTAATAATGCCAACAACGACCATGATTGTGATTCCGACAATGACAATAAAAACAAAAATAAAAATAATGAATACAACAGCAGCAACAACAATGATATTAGTTCATCATCTCAGCAGCCCATAACTACCACCTCATTATGTTCACCTTCTGGTCCAACGCAACAAACACTGTCTTATTTCGACGTACTCCTTCCTCATGTTCAGGTAATTTTTGATGACCATTCTTATTGTGAATTATTACAAAATGTCTCATTTTGATGGTATGTCTGAATATTGTGAATATTTCATCGTGTATTCAGTAGGACCTTTTAAATTTGAATCAGTCACACGTACCTCAGAGATGTGCAATGCTGAAAAGATGACCAACATCAGTGCTCTTTCAAAAGTAGTCGTTAGATCTCTTAACATTGTGAAACCGCAGCTAATCATTATAATGCCAGAACAGTTTGCTGTTCACATGCTGCACTGTTTGTAATGCTTCTATTAAAATGGTGAGAATCTTCAAATGATTTGTTCTCAAACTTTTAGTTGTCAAATTTAATCGAAGTTGCAGCCAAATTAGTTTCAAAAGGAGCCAAATATTTTGCTTTTATTCTTTCATTGATTCGGCGTTAATCATTCACATTTTATCAAGAGGTAAATATGTCAAATCAATGAATGATTTGACGTCGATATTACTGACGTTCCTTTTTATTCCTGATTCGTTCTGGTCTATTCTACTAGGGTAGAAAATAATAGTGTTCAATTTTTGGGGCACAACAGAATGAAATAGTTCAAACGACAGAAGAGAACAGCAAACCTTCGAACTGTTGGATTAGGGGTATGGGAACAAAGAAGAGCAGAACAGAATAGCTTAAAGGCAGAATAGAACAAGATGGCATCGAATAGTTGGGGTGCAGAAACGGAATATAGAGAACTAAGAAAGTAGAACATAGCGAAACGAAATAGTTGAAAGGGCACAACAGAACGCAACAGTTTGCCAGAAGCGTGGAACAGAGAGATCACCAATCCGTACTGACTCAAGCCCGCAGCTTTTTGCTCACGAATCTTTCTTTTAGTTGAATCTTTGTTCGTGTTCTAGTTTGGTTTCAGAAAAAGAAGTTACTTGATCAAAAAATTTCAAACCTAAAATTTTTGGCTGAGTCCAACTTTCATTTTGGTTTTTCCTTTGTTATTTCTATAGATGAATTCTTGTCACGTGTTGCTTACCTCATGAATATTTATGAACTTCTTTTCTACGTGATGTCGTCCATCCTATTTTGATTACTGGTTCATCTCCACCAGTTCAGTCAGACAATCTTTTCTGCTGAAACAATTTTCCCGCGGACTTTTCTTGAAACACAAACGGTCAGAAATGTGCGGAATTTGTCAAACAAAGGAATTGAGAGATTGCTAATACCATAAATCGCAGTATGACCTTCTTAACTGAGACTCAATTTAATGGAATTTTTTATAGCATTTGGTGAGCATTGTGAAGAGGACAATAAAATGAAGTATCATTTTTTAATCATTAGTGAACGATTGAATTCAATTAAATGACTGCACAGGCTGGCTTGTTGATTTATTAAGTATGCGTAAGAGTTCTGAAACATTTCAATTATGGACATTTCGTCACATCGACAACTGAAATATTTTTGAAAACTCATGCATAAACATATGAAGTGTCAACTGATAAAATCTATAAAATATCTTAAAATTAATTCATGTGAACTTTGTTCATTCAGTTCTTCGGATGACCTGGACTGCTCAAGCTATCAAGCGTTTTTAACTTTTATTCAACAATAAATTAGGATGCGATTATATCATCAAATAAGCTGTGTTATTATAGCATGAATCACGGTTGCAGCCATTTCTTCCAACCTTCATTCAATATGTTCTATTTATGAAATTGTCGACGATTTTCCAATTCGAAACTTTTTTGAAACATAAACAGAAACTTGATTAAGCTTCTTTTCAAAACCAAAAAAAAATAGAGCAAAGTTGTGACAATCTTTAGATGGCATCAGCAAATCCATTCATAATGGGCTTGACGGATTCGGATGTGGCAAATAATCAACAAAAATTATGGTCACAGCAATGGATCGAATTATTTCAACAGTCCACGTGTCGACAGTTCGGTAACTTTCAAATTATTTTACAGCCGACTGAATTTCATACCACAGTACCATACGCTTAATATTTCTCGCAGTAATCAGTCTTAGCAATGTATTTCAGTATTGATTCTGCAGCAGCATCTAATAGTTATGTCATTCTTGGTGACGAATAATTTTTAATTATCATTCCATCAAAACACTCTCAAACTAATCCATAGCAGTGCTTTACTTGCTAAAGCATTCTGCTGATGATTGAATCAAATTCATCGTTCTGATTAACCAGTAAATCATTACACAATTCCAGACAAATAGGGCTATACTCCTTTCATATTTATCACATGCATTTCTAAAAATGAGATATACACATAATATTTTTTAATATCCAGGCGACAATGCAGCTGGATTATTTCTACAGCCATTCCGTAAGAATAAACGCATTCGAACAGCCTTCTCTCCGCAACAACTTGTTCAGCTCGAGAAAGCGTTTCAGTTGAATCATTATGTAATTGGAAATGAGCGTAAAGAGCTTGCATCTCGACTGTCACTAACCGAAACACAGGTATATTCATCGTTCACTTTATTGTACTCATCTTCCGGCAACACCTCCTCACATTTTTCTAGCAGCTTTAGCTTTGTTGCGAACAAATATTATTCAGTGATACCACCATTCAGATGTGAACATACAGGCATGTATCGTATCCCTCACCAGTTCCTCATCAGTTTTCAATTTCTCATTCATTCAGATGAATTTTTCTTGTGAGTCGTACTGATGAAATTCCATCATCAAATTTTCTCGGCTGTGTCTTATCTTAAATTGCCATTGAGCGTTTTTTGCAATTCAGTTCAAATGAGTTATAAATGTGATGTGTGATTGAATGAAAACATTTTTTTTAGTTTCTGTTCTCGACTTATCTTTTAAATTATAGTTCTTTTAAATTATAGTTGTTTATTTGATTGAGATTGTTGTCGGAAATGAAATGATGCGAAAAGTTGCTGTATGTTCATCCTCAATTACAAATAATTTAGAGCAAATGGGGAGTGAATGATGTATTTATGTTGGATGTTATTTGTTTTGTTCGTTTGAAATAAAGGAACTGTTTAGAATGATGCAGTTAGAATATGTTTAAAAAAAAGAGAGATAGATTGCCAGCAATTCATCGCTTACCTGAAGAGGTGAGGTGAATTAGATATGTAGGTAAGTATATTCAATTGTTACGTGATGCTGTTATTTGTGTTTGTTGAAATTAATGGCTTAATTCTAAAGAAGACTGATGATGGAACACGATACATTCATTCAGTCGGTAATGTTTATTTATAGTGTACTATTAACGTCCAATTAAACACACGCCATAATCCGTATGTATCCACCTGTATGTTTGAGATTCTTAATTGTTAAATCCGTTTGATGTAATTCGATAGTCTCCCTCTAATTGGACAATCAATCAACTATCCGACTCACTCAGTTAATTCCAGGTGAAAGTATGGTTCCAAAATCGACGTACGAAACATAAACGCGTTAAATCAGACGTCGAAAAAGTCTCTACACCTCCGAGTCCTATCTGACAACATATATTATTGTTAACGCTATAATTTTCACGCATCTCAACG